CTTCCAAGTGGGAACACAGAGAGCAATAAACACTTCACAGGAGTTCTAACTCTTCCCTACTCTACTCTATCAAAATGTTTGGTGTAGATACAATAAACAAAATATTTTTTTTTTTTAGGCGCTGCCTGAAGGCCAGACCGCATCATGGGATACAGCAAAGGAGGACGAGAACCGCAACAAGAACAGATATGGGAACATTATCTCCTGTGAGTGTGACGCTAGCAGACAGGATGGTGATTGTCTTTAACTTATCAGACCTTTTCATTATCAACATCCCAGCTCACCTGTGCATGCATTAAGTTGAAAAATCTACGACGTGTGTCAACTTTCATGGCAAAATGTAACAAAGTCTAACTGAACTTCCATTTTAAAAAGCTAAATTTCATGAGTTCAGCAACTTTTTAAAACGTGTTGGCACACCATGAGTTAAGTCCTAATAGCTGCCTGTCACATGTGGGCTTATCTCTATTATTTATATATCGGACAGGTTTATGGCTCTGCCAGAGGATGCACTCCACACTCAAGTTTGTAAGAGAGGAGAGAACAGAGAGCAGTTATGCCCTATGCCCAGCCCTTCCCTCTGCTGTCTATTCACAGAAGCCTTTATATTGTGTGAGCGAGGCTTCTGTGATTGGACAGGAGGAGGGGAGGCACAGGAGCAGTAGCTGCACCAACTCTAGACTTGGGACCAGCTGATTCCAGTGTAGTAGTTCCAGACGTTATGCTGCTGGAGCACAAAAAAAAACTGTCAGAAATCAATAATAGAGATAAGCCCAAGAGGTGGCAGGAGCCTTGTTGGACTTAACTCAGAGTGCCTTCACTTTTTACAAACTTGCTGAATTCCTAGAATTTTGCTTTAAATCGGTAGGCTATATTTTTGGTGCATCAAATCAAGAGGCACTCAAAGTCTGACAGTTTTATTTCCTTAGAAAGCAGCCACAACGTGAGAAGAACAGCCCATCCCCTGCCAGCATATTGCAGAGAGGACCCTTGCTCTCTTTGTGGTATATGATCTCTATGCAAAGGTCTGAAACACCAAGCCAAGTCAGACCTATAGATCTGCAATTAGCAAAGCTTCTGCCCCTTGCTGATTAGAGAGTTCTAGCTCTAACTCAGCATAGATCACGGATCCTTCTCTACAACATGCTGGCAGAGAACAGGCTTTTCTACTGAGGCTGTGGCTGCTTTCTAAAAAAAAAAAGCTTTGCACACCATTTGTTTTAATGCACCTGATGCAAATTTAGCTTATTAAACCTGAATGTTCAGTTGGGCTTTAATATGTGGGTTACCCACCTTATTGAAAAATCTGATGTCTGGAAGGCAAAGCTGTGAGTTTGAAATGTTTGTGAATAATATTTCTCACTTGTTTTCCTGTTACGCTTGTTTAGGCTTAGGAGTTATCCACTGTACCCAAGAGGAAACACACAATCTACACTTGTCTGTGATTGACAGTAGCATCACTTAGCTATGTGATATCTATACATATGTTCCACTGACAAATGCCAGTAAATGTAGGACTCTGTAGTACAATGCAACTGCCGGAAAATTTTAAATATTTCATTTTCAACTTTTTGGATACTTCAAAAGCCTTTACAAACAAAAGGGGACAGGGTGGAAGCACATACATCCATTTACAAAGTTAATTGTCCCACTGTTGTGCCTTACAATGTCAAATTTCTAAAATAGCGAACCTGTGCTTAGCCAATACATGGGCAAAGCAACAGATTCACTTTAATGGTGACCCCTCTGACTGTACACTTACCTCCCTTTCACTCCCATACTACTCCAGAAGCAAGGAGATTTACCCTTTTTCTAAATTTTAAGTCATAGCGTGGAACTAACACAGGCTGGGAGCTCCCACCCATCTAAATGTGACAGCCTAAGCAGCCAATACTCAATAACGTGGTCTTATGGAGTGAGTCTTATGATTCTCTGTACTCTGTACTTTTCCTTTTCTGGATACTGAACAAAAGGGAAGTAATGAGAAGCAAAGGGAAGATGAGTTTGTAAAGCTGCTGGGGCTGCAGCTAAAGTAGAACTGTGTCCAGGCTATGAGCATTCAAATAATTACATATTCACAAAAAGCAGTAAATACGATTTAAAATATTTCCTTGCTGACCTGTGTAGCTAAAAGCACTAAGGAGTAATTCATCCTTAAATCCACACTAGAAAACAAATCTTTCATGTCTGGTCTCAGCATTCTGCTCCCCACTTCATTTTTTATCTGATCTAGGCTTGATTTAGAGATCAGGAGCCTGGAAGGCTATTCTCTTTTCCTGTGTCACTGGTGGGCAGGTCCTCTATGATGCAGAGAATGTCTGCAGAAAACTGTTTTCTGCATGAGTCTCCTGTGTGCCCATGGCAGTTTGATCCTTGACCCCCTTGGCTCACAGAAAAAGGGTTAATCAAGAGGCAGCCCACAAATGGATGTGGAGTTCAGCACTATAGAACAGGCCCAGATCTAGGGAGGTGTCCCCCCCCCCCCCCCCACAAACAGGTTTTAGTTGTGCCCCCCCCCCAGGTCTCTGAGAATGCATTCACTGATCCATGAGAGGCAATTGATGTAAGGGGATAATCTGATAGGGACAACTGATGTAAGAGGACACTCTGATGGGGACATGAACAACTTAAGACCCATCTCCCTGCTCCTGTTTACCTCAAAACTCTTAGAACGCTTAGTCTACAATCATCTGAGCTCCTACCTCACTGACAACAACCTTCTTGACCCCTAACAGTCTGGCTTTCGCTCACTCCACTCCACTCCACTGAAACTGCCCTACTAAAACTCACTAATAATTTACTAACTGCTAAAACCAATGAACTCTACTCTATACTATTACTACTTGACCTCTCTGCGGCTTTTGATACTGTTGACCATCCCCTCCTCATCAAAAAACTCCACTCTCTTGGCCTCTGAGACTCTGTTCTCTCCTGGTTCTCCTCCTACCTATCACAGCGCTCCTTCAGCATTACCTATAACACTGTCTCCTCCTCTCCACTTCCTCTTTCTGTAGGGGTCCCTCAAGGTTCTGTCCTTGGACCCCTACTCTTCTCCATCTACACCTCCTCCCTTGGTCACTTCATAAACTCCCATGGCTTTAAGTTCCATCTCTATGCTGATGACACACAAATCTATCTTTCTACCCCTCACCTCACTCCTTCAGTCACCTCTCGCATTACTAACCCACTAAGTGACATATCGGCATGGATGTCACTCCACTTCTTTAAACTCAATCTTTAGAAAACTGAGCTTTTAGTATTCCCCCCAGCCCGTGCCCCCTCCCCTGACTTCTCCATTAAGATCAATAATACACCCATCAGTCCCTCCCCACATGCCAGGGTACTAGGTGTAATCCTAGATTCCCATCTGTGCTTTCAGCCCCAAATCCAATCACTGTCCAAATCTTGTAGACTTCACCTCCGCAACATCTCCAAGATACACCCGTTCTTAACCTTGGAAACTTCTAAGCAACTTATTCACTCCCTGGTTATCTCTCGCCTTGACTATTGTAACTCCTTCCTCATTGGCCTACCTCATCACAGGCTATCATGAAAGCTGCTGCCAGACTCATCCACTTTACTAACCGTTCCATATCTGCCACCCCTCTCTGCCAATCCCTCCACTGGCTTCCCATTGCCCAAATAATAAAATTCAAAACATCTTGTCTCCAAATATCACCCAAACTGTCCTCTCTGCTCCTCGCATGACCTCCTGCTCTCTAGCTCCCTTGTCTCCTCCTCCCATGCTCATCTCCAGGACTTCTCCAGAGCCTCCCCCATCCTCTGGAACACTCTACCCCAATCTATCAGACTATCACCTACTCTGCCCACTTTTAGGCGATCTCTGAAAACCTATCTCTTCAGGGAATCCTGTCCTTCAGCTAATACCGGAATCTTCTATTCCTCCTACCAGTCCATCCCCCACAGTTATTACATTTTGTACCAACAGCCCCTCCCTCTTAGATTGTAAGCTCCAATGAGCAGGGCCCTCCTAACCCTCTTGTATTGAACTGTATTGTTGCTGTATTGTCTCCCTTATATATTGTAAAGTGCTGAGCAAACTGTTGGCGCTATATAAATCCTGTATAATAATAATGTGATGTAAGCGGAAACTCTGATGGGGACATTTGATAGAAAAGGGTACTCTGATTGGGACATTTTTTGTAAGGTGGAACTTTGATGGGGATATATGATGAAAGCGGTACTCTAAAGGGGACACTGATGTAAAGGGGGACTCTATTGTGAACTCTGATGTAAAGGGGGATTATATTGACTCTAGATGTAAGAGGGGACCCTGATGGGGACACGTTATATAAGGGGTCACAATTCTGTTTAATCATTATAATCAAATTACAGTATAATGCATACTGGCGTTACCTGTTTACTCCTGCGCCATCTCTGCACTACCCGTCAGATTTTACTTCCAGGTCATGAATTGTGGTACAGAAGCATGCTCAGTGAACTGGGAATACTGGTTCCCAGCATCTCTGTCACATTGTGTGGTAAATGGTCTGTGGCTCACACACAGTTTTGGAATTGTACCCCCTGACATTTTTACTGCACCCCCAGATTAGATAGGTTAGATCTGGCCCCGCTATAGCATGAACAGGGTAGGTACTGCCATGAGACTATTATTATAGCAAGAAAGTGATGTTAAAAAATCCTTGAAGTTGGGCTTTAAACCTTTTTTACTGCTTGCTAACAATATGTAAATGTTTAAATATGCATAGGCTGGTCATAGTTCCACTTTAACAGTAAACCTGTTTTTTTTGCCTGCATGGACAAAACAAAGTTTTGCTTTAAAAAATAATCAATGCCATTATAATATTTTAAAACCCTCTTCTTCTCTGTCACAATACTTTTTCATCCTTGTATACACAATATATCCTATTACTTTATAAAGCCACTACTGTATTTGTCTCCCTGTGTGTTGGCTTTACACGGTTATAATGGGCACAATTCACAAAATCTTATCGCATGAGCAGGGGCGGACTGACAACTCATGGGGCCCCAGGGCAATAGGGGATCATGGGGCCCCTGTGTTTTCGCCCACACCCAAAAAAGCCTATGAAAAAGCCAGTGAAAGGTACCAGGGGCATCTCATGGGGCCCCCAACTGACCCAGGGCCCTTGGGCAGTGCCCGAGTGCACGAATGGTCAGTCCGCCCCTGCGCATGAGTTAAGTCAGTCACATGACCACATATCGCATGCGATACTGAAAATGTCAATTCATTATTGCTAGTATGCGGTATTTACCAAAAATAGCAAAAACACTCGGTAAATACCGCATAAAAAGACCTTAAAGTCAATTCACAAAAGTAAATAGGCCCCCATATGTGAATGAGAATGCTGTACATGGTACCCCTACCCATTCACAAAAAAAAATAGTTTTAAAAAAGACAGGAGACAGTCTTTGACAAGTCCTTTATTAAAAGAAGGAAAATAAAAGTGTCCCCTGAAATAGATCTAACAGCAATCACGGTGCCCGCCGGTGCTGCTACCCGAAAAAAGAAATTAAAAAAGGCTCCGCTCACGATGCTGGCTCCAAGTAGATCCAACGTCAATCAAGCTACCGGTCGCTGCCGCTATCTGAAAAAAAAAGGCTCCACTCACGATGTTGGCTCCCACCGTCTGACTGCTCTGCTGGCTTGACAGTTCTTAACTATGTAAGTGGTGGGGCCACCCAGCGACATCACGTGTGTGACCTCATCAATGCTGGGTCAATTATGTCACAAGGGCGGGGTCACGTGTGTGATGTCACAGGGTGGCCCCACCCCTTACATATTTAAGAACTGTCAAGCCTCCGGAGCAGTCAGACGGCGGGAGCCAGCGTTGTGAGTGGAGCCTTTTTTTTTGCCAGATAGCGGCAGTGATCGGTAGCGTGATTGACGTTGGATCTACTTCAGGGGACATTTTTTTATTTTCCTTCTTTTAATAAAAAACCTTTCAAAGACTGCCGGCAATTCTTTCTTTAACATCCAGCTGTCAGTGGGGAATCCTGCTGACAGCTAAAACATTAACACATGGTTTTCACTACTAACATACCGCATGACTTGATAAAATAACTTTTTTTAGTAACTATTTTTAGTGCATTCAAACATTTTTTTTTAAAATGCTGTGCGGTATACATACTCGGATGTGGTAAGAAACTGCTTAGTGAATTGTGCCCATTGTCTTTTATAAATATACTTTTAGTGTTCCACATAGTTCCATATCAACCATCTACACTCTGACATCTATTACATTTCCCTCTCCATTTGTTTTCCACCTAAGTATCTGGAATTTGAAAAGTTTATTTCATTTGTAATGTCTGTGACTTTATTTCTGACTTTGTTAGTAACTTTGCCAATGGTGACATGTGTCATTGTCAGTGAACCGCAAATGACAGCGAGAGTCGCTGATTCCTGGCTGTCAATTTGCAGTTGACCTTATTGTGACATCTCTGTGTCTTTTTCCCTCAGATGACCATTCCCGGGTGCGGCTACAACTGATAGATGGAGATCCACATTCTGATTATATAAATGCCAACTACGTGGATGTAAGTTGCACGCTCCCATATTTCCCAGAAGCTTGGGGGATTTCACTGTTCTTTGTCCTAAATATTGCTGATCTTTTTTATGCAGGGCTACCATCGTCCTCGACACTACATTGCCACGCAAGGTAAAGATCATTTTTAGTTATGAAATTAAAATGTATATATCAGCTCCTGTTCATTTGTAGCCTGTCAGTCATTAAGCAATGTCCAGGCAAAGAAATTTTTAAAAAACGATAACATTGTAATTGCAAAATAGGCTTTCACTTAATCAAGGAAGGAAAAGATCCAATCGCTGCATTCCAGCAAGGCCCTATAGTTCCTTGGATAAAAGCAGCTTCAGCCAGGCTTTGTCCAGGCCACACACCCGATGCATTTTGCCCTGGGGTGGGGTGAAATGCATCAGTGGCGTAGCCTGGACAGAGTCGGGCTGAAGCAACTTTCATCCAAGTGACTACCGGGCCTTGCAGGAGTGCGGAACTTGCATCTTTTCCTTCCTTGATTAAATGTATTGAGCCAGGGAAAAGTTTATACAAATGTTTTTTGAGTCCATACCAGCGGACATTGTACATTTTAAGCCTTGATGAAGGGGACAATAAGTGGTCTCTGAGTGCGTTGGCTGCAATACTAACTATACGTTTTGAATAAAATCTTTTTCTTAGACTGGGACACCAGCAGAATGTTTTTACCAAATATATCAAAAGCATATATCTAAGTATAGCATATAGCAATAGCATACTATCTGAAGCAGGGGCGGACTGACCATTTGGAAACTCGGGCACTGCCGAGGGCCCGGGGTCAGTAGGGGGCCCCATGAGATGCCCCTGGTACCTTTTTCATAGGCTTTTTTGAGTTTGGGCAAGGACACAGGGGCCCCATGATCCCCTATTGCCCGGGGGCCCCATGAGTTGTCAGTCTGCCCCTGATCTGAAGTATATCTATCCAAGGCTCCAGCACCAGCCATTTACAGCTTTAAGAATACAATAGACTGGCAGAGGGGATTCTACCTTCCTTTCTTTGGATATTAGAATCTGTTCAATTTCTCTCATTCAGCCCACAGGCTGAATGAATTAAAGAAATCTATTACTTTATGGCCAGATTTAGCTGGCTGCTTGTATAAAAAATCACAGGGGTAGATGAATTAAAGCAGGCCATACATTATACAACTTTCTTTTTTGCAACCATGAGTTGCAAGAAAGAAAGTTGTTCGATTCCCCCATCAACACTGACTGATGAATCCCTCCCGCAGTGCTTTTGGTTCTGCCAGAAGGGACCCTACTCTGCCTGCAAAACACAATGATCACTGCTGGCAGTGGTGGTCGCCCACAGTGATAGAAGGAAAAAAGGAATGACTGGCTGGTTGTACTAAAGCCGATCAATGGATCGACTTCAGTAGAACCAGCCTGCCCATAGATAGATCGAGTCTTGGCCGGTCCCTGCTGAACTGGCCAAGATTCTATCCAGCTATCCATCTATGGCCAGCTTCAGAATTAGTCCTGCAGCTGAAACACACAAGTGCTGGGGGATGTTCAGGCACTGGCTTCCAGTAAGCATTTACCTCAGCCAAAACAGACAGGCTTGGCTCCTTTTTAACGACACAGTAGAAGCAGTTGGGGACAACCATCCACTCCCTACATCCTCATGCACCGACCATGCACGACTACTGCAAGAGCACTAGGGGACAATGCTGCAGTGCAAAGAAACTGAGGATTCAACAATCAATGGACATGATTATCATGTATTGTTTTTGGATCTTGTCTACAATATATAGCTCTGGGGGTAGCACAGTAGTTTAGAAGATACCACTTCTCCCTGTGCTTGCATGGGTTTCCTCCCACACTTCTTGGTTCCTGTCTAAATTGGACCTAGTGCATGAATGCAAGATAGCGACAATAGAGTGTAGGCTTCTTGAGGGCTGATGTTAATGTAAAAATATATATATTCTTTTCTATGGGGTTCATTTATTAAAGGCAAATAGACTGTGCACATTGCAAGTGCAGTTGCTCCGGAGCTTAGTAAATGTAGTTAAGCTTTGCTAAATTCCATCATTCATGTGCAAGCAAAAATGCTGTTTTTTTTATTTTCCATGCATGAGATTGGGTCTTCTTTGCAAAGTGAAGTTTCACCACATTTACTAAGCTCTGGAGCAACTGTACTTGCAAAGTGCACAGTCTAGTTGCCTTTAGTAAATCAACCCCTATGTTGAATTAATAGGTAAACTGATCATCTAAAGTTACTGACATTTTGAAATATCCAGATATGCCTTCATAGACATCAGACTGCTCTTGTCTAAGGGCTTGCAATTCTGAGAGGTACAGATAACAAAAATCTCAGTCAGGCGAAAACCATAAGCTGGATGAATACAAGCAACTGATACTTATTGCCAGAGATGTGAGCGGTGCCAAGGTTTTTTTGGCTACCGTTTGAAAAAAGTATAATAAATAAAAAAGATTGACGGTCATAATAACCATTCAAATTTAGCTATCACTCTATAATATGCAAAGGGTAAAACCTATTATTATTATTAGATTATAGTGCTATCATTTTCCACAGTGCTGCAAGGAAGTGTTAGAAAAAGGTTGAGTAATACATCATCATCTTTGTACCAAGGACTGTACATTTTACAAAGCACAACAGATGACGTGAAGACACTTCTACAAGCCAAAGCAATGAGATTTAGAAACAAATTATAAGGTAAAAACAGAAAGGGTTACAGTGTTTGCCTCGTCAGATAGTGGAAGAGCAAGCAATGTTAGGTCAATGGCTGAAAAGATCAATTCCAAATGCCATGCTTGTCTGAACGGGTGAGTTTTTAAGGGTACCTGTGACCAGGCTTTAGGCCTTCTTGTATTACTACATTCTTAACAAGCAGTAATTAAGCTATAAAACTAAATTTCACTGACCTCTGTAGCTACAGGCACTCTGGAGCAATGAATTCTCAAAATAATTTTCAACTTACTACTCTACTTGCTGCCCTCAGAGCTCCTTTTCTGTGTTTACATTAGAAATTAGATGATTCCCAAGTCACAGCTGAGAGGGGGAGCAGAAAAAGGCTAAGTTTAAACTTTGTCTAAACTGCTGCTCCTCTGAAAAGTGATACACATTCAGAATGCTTTTTTAAAGCTGTTTGACAGGCTGTGAAGAGGCGATGTGACACCTTCTCACCACCAGTTTTAACCACTTGACCTCAGGAAGATTTTACCCCCTTCATGTCCAAAAAATTTTTGCTGTTCAGCACTGTGCTACTTTAACTGGCAATTGCTCTTTCTGTACCCAAAATGAAATTGATATCACAAATAGAGCTGTCTTTTGGTGGTATTTGATCACCACTGTGCTTCTATTTTTTATTATGTAAACTAAAAGGCTGATATATTCTACTTTCTGTTATAAAACATATCCAAACAAAAATCAAATATCTTCATACATTTAAGCCAAAATGTATTCTGCTACAAAAAAAAAATCCCTTTAGGTGTATATTAATTGGTTTGTGTGAAAGTGATAGTGCCTACAAACTATGGTATATATATTGGAATTGATGCAGCTATGAC